GGTGTCCTGGCCCCACTGGTGGACCTCCTGATGGCACCTGGTATTTTTGGCCACTATGTGACACAGATTGTTGGACTGGATGGGCCATTGGCCTGATTCAGCATTGGCTTCTCTTATGTTCTTATGGATAAGCATATGGAGCAGAGGTCCATCAGTGGCTCTTAGCCATAAGGTATAGACAGGGACTCTCAGGCTGGGGCAAGTGATGCTCTGTATTCTTGGTGCTTGGGGGGGGGCAACAGTGGGAGGGCTTCTAGTGCCCTGGCTCCACTGGTGGACCTCCTGATGGCACCTGGTATTTGTGGCCACTGTGTGACAGAGTGTTGGACTGGATGGGCCATTGGCCTGACCCAGCATTGGCTTCTCTTATGTTCTTATGGATAAGCATATGGAGCAGAGGTCCATCAGTGGCTCTTAGCCACAAGGTATAGACAGGGACTCTCAGGCTGGGGCAAGTGATGCTCTGTATTCTTGGTGCTTGGGAGAGGGGGGCAACAGTGGGAGGGCTTCTAGTGTCCTGGCCCCACTGCTGGACTTCCTGATGGCGCCTGGTATTTTTGGCCACTGTGTGTGTGACAGAGTGTTGGACTAGATGGGCCATTGGCCTGATCCAACATTGGCTTCTCTGATGTTTTTATGTTCTTGTGAACATAGCCGAGGGGTCATCTATTGCAGGTTGTGATACAAAGAGCTCCGTCGGGTCAGGCACAGGTCCCTTGACAAGTCACCCCATTTCTCACAGTGCCCAACTATCCCCCAAATTATCTTCACTTTTCGCCAGCAGGTTTCTTCAGGGGAATCTCTTCATCTCGCAGTGTCACTTCAGCAAAACGAACAGATTACCCTGAAGAAGCCTCTTGGTGAAAAGCGAAGAGAATTTTAGATGAGTCACGACATACATATTTTACTTGATTCTGCGCCATCAGCCTTGACCTTGTTTTCTATCTCTGAGTGGCTGCTGCGGCCTTTTTCTTTTCTCCTGGTTTCATCTTTTCCCTCAGGAAAGGTTCTTGGGCCCTTTTATCTGTTTGGACGGGCCTCACCCCCCTTGGAGAGACACAAATTCCAATGCAGGCAAATCAAAGGAGGTAGTACATAAGAACATCAGAGAAGCCAATGTTGGGTCAGGCCAATGGCCCATCTAGTCCAACACTCTGTGTCACACAGAGGCCAAAAATACCAGGTGCCATCAGGAGGTCCACCAGTGGGGCCAGGACACTAGAAGCCCTCCCACTGTTGCCCCCCCCCCCAAGCACCAAGAATACAGAGCATCACCTGCCCCAGACATAAGATGACAGAGCATCACTTGCCCCAGAGTCCCTATCTATACCTTGTGGCTAATAGCCACTGATGGACCTCTGCTCCATATGCTTATCTAATTCCCTTTTGAAGCCGTCCATGCTTGTAGCCGCCGCCACTTCCTGTGGCAGTGAATTCCAAGTGTTAATCACTCTTTGGGTGAAGAAGTACTTCCTTTTATCCGTTCTAATCCGACCACTCAGCAATTTCATGTCCACGAGTTCTTGTATTGTGAGAAAGGGAGAAGGACTTCTTTCTGTACCTGCTCTGTCCCATGCATAATCTTATAAACCTCAATCATGTCTCTCCTCAGCCGTCGTTTCTCCAAGCTAAAATGGAGAATGTTTCCCAGCCCCCCTCTTCAGTTTGTCTGAGGCAGCAAAACCAAGATATTTATCAGGCCCCAGTGAGTCATCAAACATGGTAGGGTGGGACCTCCCTGCAGAATATACATATAGCTTATCGTGACAAGGTATACACCACCATGGCACCCACCCCCGCACACTTGATTTCTCACTAGCGGTATTTCAGTCTCTGATCTCCCATTCCCAATATCTGTCTCAGACAAGCCGTTTTATTGGCATGTACGTGAAGATACAGTAATCTAAATACAAAATCCGTGCAGAGTAAAATTAGTATTGCAGAGTAACATCATAGAGTTAACATCATCATCAATATCCGCAGGGCTAT